GCCCGTTACTCACTCTGGAAACACCCTAAACCCTAAACCGCAAACCCTAAACCCTAAACCCCAAGTAAGTGCCAAGGCACCCGGCCAAAAGGCCCGATGCCAGGCCAGCCAAGACTTCCGGAGCCTCGGGGCCGAGGAAGAGGGCCGCCTGGACGGCCTGCGGAGACCTCGGTTTAGGGTTTGGGGTTTAGGGTTTAGGGTTTAGGGTGTAGGCTTTGAGGTTTAGGGTTTAGGGTTTGAGGTTTAGGGTTTAGGGTTTGAGGTGTAGGGTTTAGGGTTTAGGGTTTAGGGTGTAGGATTTAGGTAAAGCTTCCTTCAAGGCTTCCTTTGAATGAGCTTCATGTAACGGTACCATAAGGGTTCCTTTAGGGCATCCTTGAAGGGTTCTATAAGGGTTCCTTTAAGGCTTAATTTGAAGGGCACTACACGGGCTGCGACAACAGCTCTAAGTAAAGGGGTCTTTATGGCTGGAATAGGGTTTTAGTCTATGCTTCAAGCCCCCTCAAGTACGCCCCTTCAAGGTACTGAAACTCACCAGGGATGTGAGTCATACACTCTCATATTTGTTTCGTTTGGTCCTGAAGGAATTCAAGGGACTAAAGGAGGGACCCTTAAAGGGACCCTTGGGGTTATATAGGGGCTTAATGAAACTATATAAGGGGTATATAAGGGTTGTATAGGGTATTGGGACTAGGGGTCCCTTCTAGGGATCCCTCCTGTTTTCCCTTAAAGGGAGGCCTAAAGACGTTCAAGGGTTTACACAGGGTGTTAGGTTTCGGGTCAAGGGTCGGGAAGCCTTTTGGGATGTCAGGGTTCATAGCGGCGTAGCGCCTTTAGTGCTTCGGGTGTAGAGATGCAGAGCTTTGTGCAAGGCCACATTGAGCACTCTAAAAACCTTGCAAAAATACTGGTGCATTAGCTCTCAGAGTTTTCGATCACCCTAAACCCTAAACCCAAAGCCCGAAACCCTCTTCCCTTATCCCATAGCCCTTAACCCTAAACTCTAAACCCTTATCCCTGAACCCTTTTGTTTCGGCATGGGGCTGGCTGAAAGACGGAGTTGCCAACAGAAACTGCGCCGCCAAGTCGGCACTGGGCTGGAGCGCCGCGCGGATGCAGTGCAGGGCTTCGTCGGCGACCTTGTCGTCACCTGCTACTGTGCTGGGGTTGAAGGATCTCCAAGGGTCTGGGGTTTAGGGTTTAGGGGTTAGGGTTTAGGATTCAGGGTTTAGGGTTTAGGGTTTAGGTGGGGGCTTCAAGGGGGCGGTTTAAACTGCGTAAGACTTCTGGGAACTGCGAGACGGAAGCAACACCTTCGAAAGAACAAGTCGTGAGCAGCAGAAAGCGGAATATTTACTGGTCCCGTTCACGCGGCCTGTTCCCTCATACCCTGTGTCTAGTTGCTGCGACACGGCTTCCTCATTTACCTTTTTTGTCTGTCTGTTTCCCTGCAAAATCTGTTGTCCCCTTCACCGACTCACGTTCAACACCATATCAGACTCCTTCAAACGGCTAGTTTCCTCTAGAGGGTTGGCTTTTTTCTCAGACCGTACAACTCCTTCCATGCTTTGCTCCTCTCTCCAGACCCTAGAATCTGAGAGTAGCGCGACAGAAACTACTTGTGGAATGAGACAGGGACGCTAAAGAGATCCATAGAATTCGATAGACGCAGGCGCGAAACGCAGATCTTCGAGGGGTGGATGAGAAGTTGTGCCACAAGGCAAACCCAACACCCACCTGAGGCTTGCTTGTATCCCAGCAGAACGAAAAGCTACCCTTGGGAGAATACAAGGATTATAATGCCCCGAAAAAGCTTAAAAGTTACCTACTCTACTTTGGATTATCTAAGGGTTATAATGCCCAAAAAGCTTGAAGGTTACCTACTCTACTACTAAGTGCCCTTATCATACCCTTTATAGAACCCCGAAATAGAACCCTTAAATTATAGAGCCCCTTAGATTACACTAAGTCACTAGGCCTCCGAAGCAGCCGCACACGGCTTCCAAGAGTCTCTCGGGACAACGGCCGCCCAACTCCTTCAAGGCACCTTCGGTTTAGGGTTTAGGGATTTAGGGTTTCGCACTTGGCTTTCAACCCTAAACCCTAAACCCTAAAGCCTAAACTTTGGGTTGGGAAGCCTAAACCGGCTTCGGGTTTTAGGGTTTGGGGGCCCCCTTGCCCGAATCCCTGCGACTTTTAAGGCTTTTCCGTCTGTGCGTTTTCGGTTTGGGACATCGCAGGCTTAACACAAACTGCGAAGCCCAACAATTGAGCTCCCCGCAGGGAAAAAGAAGTGTCCCCTAAACCCTAAACCCTAAACCCCAAACCCTAAACCCCAAAACCCTGGGTCTAGAAAGATCGTCTTCAAGTGACGTACATTCCCAAAGTATTTGACCCGGCCCTCCAAATGCCTGCAGGAAACCCTATAAACCTCTGTTCAAAAAACATATCCTACAAAACCCAGTACAAACCCAAAACAAAATCTTAAGCACACAGGTATGTGTATGTGTGTACATATTTTTGGAGAGAGGGAGAGAGAGTGAGAGAGAGAGAGAGAGCGAGCTGTGCGTGTATATATATATATATACTTATCTATTTATTTACTTACTTATATATTTCTATATTTATGTATCTATTTATAGAAACACCTCAAAGGAAGCAATCCGAACAGGCCGCGCGGCGGAGCCCCTCGAGCTGCTCCCTGGCATGGCCCCCGAGGGCATGGAAGGCGGGATCCAGGTCGATCCTTGCCCGCGGGTTTAGGGTTTAGGGTTTAGGGTTTAGGGTTTAGGGTTTAGGGTTTAGGGTTTAGGGTTTGGGTTTAGGCTTTAGGGTTTAGGGTTCTCAAAGCTTGTAGGGATTTGGGGCCTAGGGAGTTTAGAGGATTGTAGGGTTTAGGGCGTGGGGCTTGAGGTGTTCAGCTTTTTTGGAAAGGGCCCTTGGTTCCTTGGTTTGTGGCCGCTTCAAAGCTTCGAGGAGCCCTTTTTGGGGGGCAATAGTGTCAGTATTGCCAGATTCCTTGGGCGTGAGATGCAGGAGCGGTGTGGGTTTTAAGGTTTTGGGCTCTGGGGTTTGGTGGTCGTATATTGGTGGGGTTTAGGCTTTAGGCTTTAGGGTTTGGGGTTTAGGGGGACTTCGGGGGTTCATAGTTCGCATTTCGGTTTCAGCAAGCTTCTAGCGCCAAAGTCTTCGTGCTGAATCTGCAAACAAAGCAATGGGAGGTGTTTGTCAACACGCTGGGGCCTAAAGCCCTAAACCCTGAAACCCCAAACAATCAAGCCCCAACCCGAAAACATTAAACTCCAATTGGAGTTGAGGGTTTAGCGGAGCTCTTGCGATTGTGGGTGTGGGGACACCCACCCCGACAGCAGAAGAGACGCCCTAAGATGCGGAATGTTCAGTCCTAGCCGAGACCCGACCAATCCGCAAACCTCTACATCCAAGAGTCTGCCCAGAGTCCTAAACCCTGTCTCACTCAGAAGCCCTTAAGCTATTACACTAAACCCCTAAACCCCTGAACCCCTAAACCCCTGAAACCCAAAACCCTAAACCCTACTCCCTAAACCCCAAACCCCTAAACCCCTAAACCCCTAAAACCCTAAACCCCTAATCAACCCTAAACCCTAAACCCTAAACAAACCCTAAACTCTAAATAAACCCTAAANNTAAACCCTAAACCCTAATCAACCCTCAGGGACCCCTTAGCCGCTAAGCTCTTTCCAGGTCTGGCCGCAGGAGGGCGAGGTCAAGGCGAGCTGCGGCATCCGAACCTGTTAGGGTTTAGGGTTTAGG